CTCCTCCTCACCCCACCGGGTCGCGCTCCCGCCCCCATCGCGGCAAGGCGCATGCGCTTTTGCGAGGGGCATTACGGCTTTGCGCTTCCGCGCCGTGATATACGGGAGCACGTGTTGGGCGGCCTGTGCGTTAGCGGCGGTAAATACGGTAACGCCTCCTTGCTAGGAACGTCCGTGCGGGTGTATACGGTAACCGGGGCTGCGCTCACTTAAGGGTAAATACGGCGCGGGGCGCTCGCTTAACGCGGCCGCGCCTCGGCCCCGGCTGGAAGTTAAGGCCGATCCTGCCTGTGGGGAGCGGGATAAAACCCGGCTGCGGGTTTGTTTGACCTCGGTGACAGCGTGAGGCGTGGGCGCGGCTTTACAGCTGTAAACGGGGGTCGGGGCTTCCCTCAGAGAGGGCGGCGGGAGCCCCTCGGCCGGCGGTTGGGACGTTCGGGCCTTACTCGCGGCTCCGGCGGTGCCCGGGCGGTTCTGGGGCTTTCGGGAAAAGGAGAAACCTGATTTGATTTTTGCGGTTAGATTTTTAGGTTTTTCAAGCCTGTTTCTCTCTTTCGAGAAGAAAGCTGCAGCGCGCAGTTTCTAATGGGCCGGATTGCCCTTTCCCGGGAAGAAAGCAAACTCTAGCTGCCTCAGGATTTTCTTCGTATCTTTTCCCGTCATTACCTTACGGTTTGAAATCCCTCAGAAAAGCTAGAGCCTCATGTCCCCGTATGCACAGATTCCTTGGCATTCAAGCCGAATGTGACCTCGAAGCACCTATTTCTTCATGCAGTCCTGGGGCAATAGGACATCTCTTAACCTTTCCACTCCTCCCGCCCGCGGGAAGCGTTACAGCAAGTGTTCTCCAGAGGGAACACTGAAACTCTGCAGACAACGCGCACTGCATAAGCTGCTGGACAGACTTGGTGCCTGAGGGAGATCGTGTGTCACCCTCTCGCCCCTTCCCCAGCTGTATCTACTTGGAAATCTCTAGCCCTTCTTCGGGGTCTTTTTCTAGAGAGGAAGTTCTCATGAGAGAGCTGGACACAGTTCTAAGATTTAACTTCAGCCTCACTTACCTGAATACTCTGGCTGCAACTGTATACCATGACTAAACATATGGTATTAAATTGTACAGGATACAACAGGTAAGTAATTTTACAGCAGTAGGATTTTACAGATTTGTATTCCCTGAGATCACAGATCTTTATAAAGCAGTAAGAAAGATACAGTTCAGCACAAGGCAGACCTCTTAAAAGTGTTGCTTTGCTCCTACACTACAAAACTCACTTGTGTTACAGTGTGTCTACAGGAAGATGATTCGTTTAAGATCTAAATAGTCTAATACGCTATTATACAAGTACAGCCTCTGCCAAATCCAGTGGGAGGAAATCATCCAAACTGTAAATTGTGATCAGATGCCAAATAAAGCTTCAACTCATGAGCAGATTGCACATGAAGCCTTAATTTACTCAGAATTTCTTAAATTTACAATAAAATTATTTAAAATTATTTCATTAAATCATGTAATTCACTCAATGTTTTTAACTGATAATTCAGAAAGGCTAGTGCTGCGAGGAGCCAGTTGGGTCTGTGAACTTGTTGCTCTCATCATTGGTGCCAGATGACAGAACCCTTTGTTATTTCAAACCCTTTCACTCGAAAATTGTACATACTAGCAAGATGGGAACTGCTGACACTGTAGCAGATAGCATTTTTCCCCTGTTGTAAATGCACATTGTGTTTGTCATCTCTTTCTGATTATCCCATTGCTTCTGGTACTCCAGGTAAAATGATTCAAACACTGGGACTTATTTCTTGTCAGGATAACTTCTGATGAAACATCAGATACTAAACTGAAGAATGTGGGAAGTAAAACTGTAAATTGGATTATTATGCAGAAGAATGTTTACCGAGTCATTCTGAAACAGGAGAAAATTAAAGATGTAAAAAAAAAAGTACCAAATTTGAAAGCTGTGGAATAAATTCTGAATGCTGCAAGGGCTATCTCTTATTTTGGTGTAGTGGTTTGTCCAGTGAGGCCTGAATCCCAGTTTGGCATGTTTGTTGTTCAGTGATCACTCAGAGCCAAGGAGTCAGGCAGAGCCTTCTTCAGGGGATGTCTGACTTCTAATTAACCTGCTTTGTATTGGGTGGCCCCTCAGCGTTACCCAAACGCAGGTAACCTGACAGCAGAGGTTAGGCTAACATCTTGACTCTTGCTAAATTCTCAGCAGTTCCCACTGTGCAAGACACCACTGTAAGACATACAACAAAAGTTACAGCAATACCAATTTGCTCCATGTTTCCCCTTCTATTCAGTACAAGTGTATGGCCTGCAGATGGTTCCCAGGACACTGATTCTGCAGTAAGCTCCCAGTGTTAGTATATGTCTCATTAAAAATAGAGAAGATACTTCTAATCAACTCAGTGTTACAGAGCTCCAGAATTGCTGCCAGAGTGAAATTTAAGGGTTCATTAACTCGAATACCTTGAAGCTGAAATATACTGCATAGATTATGAGAAGACTCTTCTTGGTTCCCCTTGGGGGGAGGGATGCTGCTGTTGTGAATGTGTTGGCTATTTTACTAAACTTTCAAACTGTTGGTGGTGTTTATTATCTGCTGACAATTTAAATAGTCGCCTCCAAAGACATCCACATATATCAGCAGAACCTCTGCATTCACTCAGGAGAAAAAAAAAAAGGGACATGTCAGGGGAATGTTCCCTAGGGCTCACTGTAAATAAAAAACTTAGAACCTCTATTTAAAACATTAGATTAATTTATTGGAAAGAAAGCAAAGAGTGAAAAACACCACCATAAGCCATATCCATTATGTGTTCAGAGGAAAAAGAGTTTTGGTAACTAGAACTCAGTGAGTGATCAAGGAAACTTTTGACACATGGTTGAGATCAGCACTGCCAGAAACAGCTTCACTCCACAGCGCACAGAGAATAGTGGCTGTGGACTGAGATTTACTCTCTTCATGTATAAAGTATCCCCTCTACATAATGTATAACTTCATAAACAACATAAAATCTCCTCTGTCTTTGAAGTTTATTTCTAGACCCCTCCTGATACAGAACATACGCTGCACAATGCTTTGTTCAGCAGCGAAACAGTGCTAGAAGTGCTCTGGTCTCCTGCTGAGGTTTGCTAAGTGGCTTTCCCAGTGGGAGCAGCACTTAGACACTATCTATTGAATGAGGCAAGTACCCACCAGCTTTATGTGAATTGGGTTTTGGAAAATATACCTTAAACACAGAGTATGAGTTCTTTCAAATTACACGTGATCCAAATGGAAAAATGCTTTTTTGACCTGCTGGAAAGAAACATAATACATTGCTAATTCCTAGGGCACCAGCTAAGTGGTCAGCTGTATGACGTCACTTCCTTCTGTAGGTGGTTGGATGGAACATTTTATTTTTATCAAATTGAAAGAGATGTCTTCCCACATCACCAAAAACTTGTACTTGCTTCTTTTTTAAATCATGCCTAGATGGACTGATGGAGCACGTGTCACAGGGCTGAGTCACTGACACTGCTGATGCTTTGTAGGCTGAGTCATGCTAATTGTAAGCAAGAGGATGGAGGAAGAGAGACTGAGAGTGATCCTACTCCTGAGAGCTGCTCACTGAAAATTATCAAAAACGGGAGCATTAATAAATAAATTGTAGTTATAATTTCTTAAGGAGAAGAGCAGATTTAGAACTCTT